GGCCCAAACATATGCAGCTGTGGATGCCCCATTGTGGCCATCGCTTTCGGTGGAGCTCCTGCCACGAAACGCTTGAGGAGTGTGCCGGAATGGGTGGGGAACCGCATGCGAACTGCGCCACGGAGGCACTCGGTGGATCTCCCTATGGGGCCACGAAACGTGTGAGGGGTGTGCCGAAACGGGGGTGACGCCCACATGCGAACTGCGCCAAAGAGGCACTCGGTGGAACTCCTTATGGGGCCACGAAGCGTGTGAGGAGTGTGCCGAAACGGGCGTGACGTCCACATGCGAACTGCGCCAAAGAGGCACTCGGTGGAACTCCCTATAGGGCCACGAATCGTTTGAGGAGTGAGCCGAAACGGGCGTGACGCCCGTCTGCGAACTGCGCCAAAGAGGCACTCGGTGGAACTCCTTCTGGGGCCACGAAACGTGTGAGGGGTGTGCCGAAACGGGCGTGACGTCCGCATGCGAACTGCGCCAAAGCGGCACTCGGTGGAGCTCCCTATGGGGCCACGAAGCGTGTGAGGGGTGTGCCGAAACGGGCGTGACGCCTGTCTGCGAACTGCGCCACGGAGGCACTCGGTGGAGCCCCTCTCTACGGGGCCACGGAGCGTGTGAGGGGGGTGCTGGAGCGGGCGTGACGCCCACAGGTGCGCCACGGAGGCCTTAGTAGATGGAGCCCCCGATGGGGGCCACGAAACGTTGTGAGGAGAGAGGGGGGGCATCGGGAGGAGGAGGAGGAGGAGGAGGAGGAGGAGGAGGAGGAGGAGGAGGAGGGGAGGGAGAGGAGGAGGAGAGGAAAGAGGAAGGAGGAGGAGGAGAGAGAGAGGAGGAGGAGGAGGAGGAGGAGGAGGAGGCAGAGGAGGAGGAAGGGGAGGAGGAGGAGGAGGAGGAGGAGGAGGATGAGGAGGAGGAGGAGGAGGAACGCGGGGCGCTCTCTTCAAAACGAGGACCCAGCACCACAGGATGGTTGGGACTTACTCGGGGTGAAGTGCGGGTCTCTGGGGAGGAGTCCAGACCTCGGGGGGTCCAAGTCGGGGATTGCCCTGGCGGAGATCTCAACCCCTTTGTAGACAAGTGGCGAGTGTTAGCAGGAACGCTCAACGCACATGAACATTCTGAGGGATCTGCAATACGCACGAACGCTTCACCGAGTAACGCTTTCGGTGGAGCACTATATGGGGCCGCGAAACGTGTAAGGGGTGTGGCAGATGGACCCGAATAACCATCTCTCCGGCCGGGGCCACGACACGTGTGAAGGGTGTGTACCGAGATGGAACCGAGTAACCATGCGGACGAAGTCACTGGGTGCGAGGGGTGAGGGGAAGGGTGCGCAAGTTTGAGGGGTGCGCCAGCATTGAATCGAGTAGCCATGCGGACGCTGCCACTGGGGCCTTCGGTGGAGCTCCCTATGGGGCCACGAAGCGTGTGAGGGTGCGCCAGCATGGATCCGAGAAATCATGCGGACGCAGCCACTGGGGCCTTCGATGGAGCTCCTTGTGGGCCAACGGAACGCATGAGGGGTGTGCCAACATGGACCCGAGTAATCATGCGGGCGCAGCCACTGGGGCTTTCGGTGGAGCTCACTATGGGGCAACGAAACACATGAAGGGTTTGTCAGAACGGACCCGAGTAATCATGCGAACGCTACCACTGAGGGCCTCGGTGAGGCTCCCTGTGGGGCCACGAAACGTGTAAGGTGGGTGCCAACATGGACCCGAATAATCATGCGGGCGCAACCATTGGGGTCTTCGGTGGAGCTACATGTGGGGCCACCGAACGTGTGAGGTGTGTGTGCCAGGATGGGCCCGAGTAAACATGCGGAGGCAACAGTTTGGGCCTTCTGTGGAGCTCCATATGGAACCTCAAAGCGTATCAGGAGATCATGATGATGACGACGACGGTTATGCAGATGATGGTAATAATGCCAGTGATGATAATGATGACGACGAGAATGATACGACATGGATTAGGAGGCATAGGCGCGGAGAGAAGAGGAGGAGAGGACTGATTACTGAGGAGAAGGAGGAGGAAGGAGGGAGGGAGGGAGACGCGCGGCGCTGCGAACTCAAAACGAGGGCCAAACACACAGGAGGGTTGGGAAACACGTCACGCTGTCGGACATCTGGGGGGGGAGCCAAGTGGGAGGGAGATGGGAGGGAGAGGACGAGGGAGGAACTCGCAAGGAGTGCATGACTCCCGCGCACAAGTGCGCTTGGACGACATTGCGAAGGAGGATCGGAGAACCGTGGCAGAGCAGGACAACTAGCCTTGTGGACCTGCTCGAAGGCTTGGAGGAAAATGTCGGTGTTCAGGATGTGCTCGATTTGCCCCGCTGGGGCCTGATCGATGCTACGGGTCTTGGTGTCGTTGCTACTTCCAGCCCCAGCTGGCACTCGCTCCAACTCCTCCTCCTTCTCGTCATCGTGATCCTCCTCCTCCTCATCATCCAGTTATCCCTCCTACTGTGCCTCCTTCTCGTGCTCTTCCTCCTTTTCAT